GCATTCATACAACATGCAAGGTGAATTATTAATATTGTCATGCATATTTAAAATTAAAATGAATTTGTTAACCACATAATATAATAAATCTCAATCGAATAAGAGATCATTATCATTATTGGTGAACAATCCCTTTTAATTAATGCGGGTCCCTCAATTCTGTAGCATAATAAATCAACCAATCAATATGTCAATAACTTATCCTGTTGGAGGAGTTCATTATTACTATTGTTGAGATTCATTTACTATTAGGTGAGCACTTCCATTAAAATAGTATGTGGGTCCCTTAACCACTGCATGAAAAATCGAATAACCAATACGCCAATAACTTATTCGGTTAGCGAAGTTCATTATTGCTATTGGCGGGCAAATCCCATCATTTCCATATCTCTTAAGACAATGCCTTGTCTATCTATATGAAATAATTCCCGATTATGTTTAGCCTTTCTAAAATCACCTAGTATAGATCACTCCGTTGGGGAGCTAACACTATTGATTTTAGATTGAGTGTATAACGTTATTAATGCTCTAATGAAAAATAAAACATTAAATATCTTGTCATTATAATCTAGACTCTTTAAATCATGCGTAGGGCCTTATTTTTAAATATCTAATTACAATGAACATTTAATATTATTATTTTCATGAGATAACCATTCTTGTAATATTAAGACTCTTCAAATCATGCGTGGGGCCTTATTTTTGAAGATCTAATTACAATGGTGTTAATAACAAAGGCCATGGGGCAATGTATAAAAATCCCCGCTCCCACTCAATTTTTAATCATTCATAATTAGGGTTTTCATTTTATTCATTTACATGATATAATGCATGCAAAACGTCTTGATTTTAATCCAATTAAATTTAGAAAATATTTGGACTTTAAACGATTCACTAATATTTAACTTGAGGCACACTTCAAAAATAATTTATAAAAATAATTTTTCGTTTCCCAATAAGTGCCCTCTAATTAATTTGTAATCAAATCCAATTAATTTTCATAATTTAACTAATATAAATCAAGCCATTTAAATAAATATCATGGATCCAATGCATGAATAATAATTAATTAACAATTATATATTCCATGCATTTCATACATCGCATAAATGATCAAGCAAATAAAAAACGGCCAATGGAATCAGCTTTTAACATTTAAATGCTCTAACTATTGAGTCTGGAGGTCCTTCATTAGCTTGCGTACACTTGCGGAGGCTTGTACGCGTCAGGATTGGTCAAAACAACACCTGGAAAAGCAAAACAGCACCTGCAACCATTAAAAACTTGTTCCCAGCAGCCCCACGCGCCCTTCACGCTCGCCCACGCGCCCCAGAGCTCCTCCACGTGCCTGCACGCACGAGAAGACACTGGCAGTGCGTGGCACGCGCTGCCACGCGCCATGTGGCGCTGGAACTAGCAGGCGCGTGGTCCACACGCGCCTGATTTATAAACATATTGTCTGGCGCGTGCAGTGCACGCGCCAGATGGCTGAACTTAAGCCTTTGACTGGCGCGTGGTCCTCACGCGCCAGCTTGTTGGCCAATGTTGGAGCGCCCTGTAGGCGCGTCCACACTAAATCCTCTCATGCCACTGATGCTGATCTGTTGGTTCTATATCCTTTTGCATGGAATCTTGGTGCACCTCATTGCACCGGATCAGCAGCCTTACTCCGGTGACTGTACTTGCCGCTGACGGTACTCCGGTCGCCGGAAAATCGCCGTAACAATTCCAGAAATTAAATACAAAATTCCAGAAATTAAATTAAGCCTTAAAAAATTCCAGAAAAATTCCGAAAAATTTCTAAAAAATCCCAGAAAATTCCTGAAGCCTAATTTAATCCTCTTGGACCTTCTTGAAGCTTCATAGCACCCTTTGATGAATCTTACATGGCTTTAAATAAATTTACAATTTGAAATACAATGGGAAAAATTAAATTACATCATTGAACTTTCAAACGGCTAAATCAAAGCCTTAATTACATTCAAATAACCTATAAGCTTCATCCATGGCCCAAACACACATCATCATCCATTCACAATTATACATACATCATCATGTATCAATATATATCAATATATTAATTCATACATCAACATACATCAATAAAAATATATATGAATATAATTTTGGATCCATGAATGATGATTTTCATAAAATCATGATCTCTAGTAATGAATCAAACCATGCTCTGATACCACTGTTAGGAAACGTGCAAGTTTTAAAAACATTTCGAGGGATTTTGATTCATAGATCTTGATTCATCACATAGAGACAAGTTTTACGCAAAAATAAAATATGATGTATCATTCAATTAACAGATTGAATACTTACATCAAAGGTCTGAGTAAACCTTTAAAACTTTACTCTAAAGTGAATGTTCTCACTTATTGTAGATCCCTTAGCAAGATGCCTTCTCCTTGGATCTCCATCTTCTTGGTAATTGTTTTGCCTTTAGGAATCACTCATAAGCCTCCATGAATGACCTTGGAAAACTAGGCTTGTGGGAGCCTCCATTAGATGAGAACATAAACCCTAATTTTCTAGAGAGAGAAAATTTATTCCTTTTTCCTTCTCATCAATCCCCCCTAAAATATACATAGACCATGTATATTTATAGGCAACATAAAGGTAAAGAAAAGGAAACAACTAATCCTTCTCAATCTCTAATTCATATGTCTCAAATCTAATATGATTCCAATATCAAGTTGGGCTATGAGTGAGAATCCATTGGGCCTATTATTTTATTGGCTACAATGAATTAATGATTGGCCCGGTCCATGGACCCAATTAAATTAATTCATAAATTAATTTCTACTCCACTAAAAGAAATTAATTGAACTCCAATTAAATAATAAATAACCTCTAAGTCAATGTTGCACTTTGACCCCTCTATGCATAATTAGTTATCGGATAAATAATGCCATCAATCCGACTACTTAATTAATATATTTATTTTGGTACCTTTGATTATTTCTGGCTCGATCACAATAAAACATTTGTTTGACAAAAATAATAATTTAATAAATAAATATATAATAAATCATTTTGTCTAAAATCATACGAAGGCCTTCGAATTTACTTTGTGATCAACCATAATCAATACAAAATAAATACAAGTAGCAATGATACAAATATTGAAAATATAACCCTCTAACTATTAATTACATAACTACCCGAAGTGTCGGTCTAAGGATCCCGAAGAATCCGCCGAACAAATCAAAGTAATTATTAATTAATAAAAGAGTCTATACTTTTCTCATGCTTAAGAGTCAAATGCCATGACGGTGATAGGAAGTAATTGCATACGACGGCTCTCGCAAATATATCTCAACCTAACGCGGATCCAGTTCAAGTCTTAATTAATTATGAGTCCATCCATAATTACCGATTATGAACAATTTATAATTACTATTTATATATCATGCATTGATTGCCATCACATACATATATATAAATATTTCTTATAATTAAATGGACACTATCAATTTCATAGTGAATCGAAACATAATACATTGAATTCACCAATTGTATAAAACATAAATATTTCAGAAACGTTAGGAACATACGTCAATTAATTCAAACAGAAATTTGCTATGCCAGGGCATATAAATCCCAACAGTAAACTCGTAAATTGATTACTACAACCATGTAGAAACAGTGAATAGATTTTAATAAACTTCTAAATTAATCTTGTTTTTCAGAAACAAGGAAGTGATGTTGGCTGCTGGAGTACTTCCAATGCTGGAGCAAATGATTGCCAACTCCAACTCTCATATCAGCAACAGCCCTGTACCTGAACCTTTCCTGCCTTGAAGAAGCCAAGCCTACCATTGGCACAAGTGAGGCTGTTCTCTTTTTAATCGAGGTCCTTCAGGCTGAAGCTGATCCTCAATGCAAGCCTGATGCCCTCCATGCTCTCTATAATCTCTCCACCCACCCTTCCAATATTCCCAACCTCCTCTCAGCTCGCATCATCAATGGCCTCCAGTATCTTATCACGAACTCTTGTGACCATGCATGGACAGAGAAATGCATAGCTGTCTTTATAAACTTAGGTTCGAGTAAATCAGCAAGAGCTGAAATCGTAGCAGCCCCAGGCCTTGTTAGTGCACTTGCAACAATGTTGGACATTGGTGAGACTGTTGAGCAGGAGTAGGCTGCCGCCTGTCTTTTGATTTTATGTAATGGAAACGAGAAATGCAGTCAAATGGTCCTGCAAGAAGGGGTTATACCTTCATTGGTGTCGATTTCAGTGAATGGGACTACAAGAGGGAAACAGAAGGCTCAGAAACTTCTGATGCTGTTCCGTGAGCAGCGACAACAAGAACTTTCACAGATTCAGACTCATCAGCATCCTGAAAATAGTGATTTGGGGATGACTGATTCAGAGTCGAAACCACTACGCAAGTCGGTCTCGAGAAGAAAGGTGGGCAATGCTTTGAGTTTTTTGTGGAAGACCAAGAGCTTTTCGGTATCATCCTAGTGTCGAGACCTTATCTCTCTGCTGTAAACTTCTGGTGTATCTCCTTTTTGAATTGTTCTCTCTTCTACCCTCAGGCATTCACTTTAGTGTTTTTTAAGTTTTCCACAGAGAAGACGAGATGTACAGGCCCCTGTAATTTTTGGTTTTCCTTACCTTCTTTTTGTGGGTAGGTTTACATGTAGTATGGATACTATAATTCTGGCTTTAGATCAATGTTCTAAAGCAATCCCAAGTGTATGGATGTGAAAATTAATGCAAATGCTTTAGAGAAACAGTGCCTGCTTCAATTTTTCGTGTGGCTCAGTAGTATCTCCTCTATCTTCCAAAATGTGGTAAGGAAAATCAAAATGGTGTGTGTGAGTTTCTTGCTAAAAATAAAAAAAATAAAAATAAAAAAAATAAAAAAGGAGAGGAGAAGTATTGCATGCCTCTTTGTTACATTTAGGAGTACCAAATTAACTTTCAAAACGAAGAAAAAAATATAAAACTCAAATAATATCATAAAGCAAACTCATCAAGTATGTTTCCCTCTGTGTCAAGAATTTTTTTTCTATTGTCTTATTAAAAATATAAAAATAAAATCTCATCAATTTTTTTTTTTTTTTTTCCATTATAATCTTTTTAGGAAGTTTGGTCGTTAACGGTTTGGTTATGAAGAACAAAACAGACATGCATGACATTTATCATCAGTCCAAAAAAATTTCACTAATATAGCATGAAATTTATTTTTGCTACTGAAGTCCGTGTATTATCCGCAGATCTAGAATGACAAAACAATACTCATTTTGACTGATTTGAAATTACCAGTATGCCCTATTTCAATTATAAACCACACATCTGTATATTTCAACTGCAAAACCTAAAAGCTCGATTGAGAGAGAGAGTGAATTGCTAATGGTGCAACGAGTGATTAATCGATTAGTCTCAGCTGGTGCAATATAATGGTACGCCTCTAACTTTCATATACCCATTCATGTACAAGTAATTGTTCATGTAACACTCAACAATTTGTGTATATAACTGGTTTGTTTGAGAATGATGATCAATTTGAGTATTGCCCTTTTCATGTTCGGATTTGAAAAAATAAAATTGAAGAGATTTTGAGATGACCCATTTGAAAAAACACAATGGAGATGGCTTTTTGATCAATCAATCTTGTGTGTTTGGGTTTGAGAAAGAAGAAGATGAAGAGGGATTTGAGAGCTCTTCAAGCTGTCAAATTGATGTTCATCTTTACAAGTTTAGGATATTGATAAGTACTTTAAATGGTGAATTAAGCTTGTAGTTGGAATTTTTTGATTTGTTATATTTCTATTCTTCCTAAGAGCCATAGTAGTTCTTCTTTTAGTATGAACAAAACCCATTTTCGGATGTCAAATAGTACTAATTAAATTAAATGATTATTGGAGTTCGTACTTGAGAGTGGGCCTTAGCACAATGACAAAGCTAGTCCACTGTGACTGGAGGTCACGACTTTGAAATCAGAAACAGTTTTTCCTTCCGGAAGTAAGGGCTGTGTGCATTAGACCCTCTCAAACACCGCAATGGCGAGAGTCTTGTGCACTAGGCTACTCCTTTTTGAAACACACGCAGGGTCAAACTCTCGACCTTCAATTTATCTTCTGAGAAGTCATTTTTCCTTTATTAGTCTATCAACCATATACAGGCGAATCACAGATGCAGAGTATTCTATTACAAATAGTTCAATAAAGTTGCAGTTGGTAGAAGTGTTTTTGTTGCTCATTTAATGTGTGGAATTATTAGATGCGCTAATTTGAGTGATCACTTTGGCTTAGGCATGCAATAGAAACAATACAATGCTAACAAAGTCCTAGAACCTAGGAGATTTGCGTTTTCCTTTTCTAGCCTTTCTCTTGTTGCTCCTCACTTTCTTCTCACCACTTTTCTTGATTTCTTCACTTTCTTTTCCTTCTTCGTGGGTTTCTTTTTCTTCAGCCTTTGGTTGATCGAATTCTATCCTTTTCCTTTTCAGGAATTTTGTTAGTCCTCCTAGTGCAATGTCCGCTTCATCACTTTTCATGATTTCTTCTGCAGTCTGCGCTGGGGTGACCTCCACCTCTGTCACGAGCTTTTCAATTTCAGAAAACATGTAGTGGTTGGTTATACCAAGGTAGTTGGAAGCAAGAATCTTGAACCCCCCAAAAGTGCAGTAGGACATGTGGATGTGCATGTCCATGCGACCTGGTCTCAGCAACGCGGGGTCAAGCCTGTCCTTGTGATTGGTAGTAAACACAATTATCCTCTCGTCGCCACAGCTTGACCATAGCCCATCAATAAAATTAAGCAGCCCAGACAATGTCAACTATACAAAAATAACAATCAAGAAGTGACGAAGTTAGGAGGTTGAATGAGACAGCAAGAAGGAGAAGAAAAATCCTATCTAGGTTTGTGGTAAGGCTCCCACAAATGCTATTAACTAAGCCAGCCAGTTTTTTGGACAGGAATATGCTTTTGAACACTAGGGGCTTAAAAGAAATTAGAATCAATTTATTTTCTACTTAGTCACAAGGCATGTGGTCTAGTGATATTTCCTCTACTTTCGTATCGAAAGGTAAAGGGTTCGGAGTTATTGTCAGGAAGAAAAGAAAATTACTACTACTCAAGCTATTGTCTTACCTGACTTTTACTTTGGTTGTTGCCTCCATCTTGTCGGTTGTCCAAGTCGACACTGCAATCAATATCCTCAATCACAAGGATCAATCTATTCGTGGTAGAGTGCAATAGGCTTTTAAGCTGTGCATTGCTTTGAAGACTAGTGAGCTCCAAGTTAAAAATGTCAAATTTCAGATAGTTTGCCATGGCTGCAACCAAGCTCGACTTACCTGTACCAGGGGGGCCATACAACAAATACCCACGTTTCCATGCCTTCCCAACTCTCTGGTAGAACTTTCTTCTGCTCACGAATCTGTCCAAGTCATCTATTAATTCCTTCTTCAGTGTTGGGTCCATTGCCAATGTGTCAAATGTGGATGGATGGTCAAGATTGACTGATGCCACCCCACAGTAGTCTCCAAGGGAGCAGAGCTTTAGTACCTTGGTTTCTTCTTTTATGGCCTTTGACCTCTCTAATACATATGGCAAGTAAGAGCTCAATACCTTCGCTTTGTACTTTTTGTCGAAACTGAGTTCAACGGATCGATGCTCAACCTTTGCAGTAGAAAAGTTGCTTTCGTCGTCAAAGCTCGTCTTTTGAGTCTCGGTACAAATGATTTCCCATACAAATTGGATTTTCTTCATATGTATTAATGATCTTTTCCCCTTTGTTGATTGTGACCGAGAGTTCTTTCTCTCGTGATGCCTTGGACACCTTGAGCCGCTGAACTGAAGGAGTAATTCTTGTGCGCAAGTAGATTTGTGAAGCCTCAAAGACTTGATTGAGGGAGAGTCCATCATATTTATCAATGATGAGAGTCATTTGAGATGAAAGGTTCCCAATTAGCCCTCCCAGTTTAGATAAGAGCTTCTCTCGGAGTTGTTGAGGTATAAGCTGGTTGGTCATGTTCTGGACTTCATTGAACACTGACCTAACCAGCATTGCTGATGCAGCAAAAGTGGTGTACGTTGACAGAACTGATGTTGTTGAAGGCATGCTTGATGCAGAAAACATGCTTGGAACTTTGGACACAAAAGACTATAAAAGAAAACTGTGGTTTGTTATTGCTTTTGCTTGCTTGGTTTGTAGCAGTTTTAGGTAGATGACTTTTATAGAACATCGGCTAGAAGGAGCTTCCATTGGAAGCTCTTTGAAGATTAGTAGCAACTAAAGTCCACACCACTCAGGAAGAAATTGTAGAATTCAACCATGTTTCCATAAAGCAACTTGCTCTGGAAGCAGAGTATTACAAGGACAAGCATGTTGAAGAACTACCTTCTCAAGGAATTCTCATACACTAATACTATTCAACAAGCTTTAATCTGTTTTTTTTTTTTTTTTAAATTTTAATATTGACAACAGGGTGACTCCGTCTCTAAGATTCTATCGTAAGCTACGATTTCTTAAATAATTAAAAGCACATTACTTAGCATATGTCACACCTAAGAAAAGAGTTGAATAATGAAATTGATAAGTTAATTTTGCATATGTCAGCATGTATATTCTAAGTTTTCTTATACTCCATATATGTCACACTTCAACTAACGTTTTCTACAGATTTCTTATACTCCATATTAAAAACATGCATAGGAAGAGGGCAGGCTGCAAAGTACAGAGTGAAGGGAGTCAAGGGAGAAGCTCATGATATGAAAAACAGGCATGTTTTTTGGTAATATAATCATAATTCATAAACTTTTGGCCTCAAATTGAACAGTTTATGGGATCAAGTTCCCCTCCCCTAGTTTGCCAGGATTATATATATATATATATATATATAAAGCAAATTATTCAAGAAAATTGCAACCACCACTGGCGAAGCCTTCTTCTCCGGCGAACCACCACCACCCCTTCCTCTTCGGGCGAGACTTTTGCTGTATACTGCAACCTTTACATACAAATTGCAAAATATGTACCTATATAAGTATATATATAGAGAAAGAGTATAAGTATCATATTCATTGTCATATTAGCTAGAATAAGTATCATATTCATTGTCATATTAACTAGAATAACTGCCATAATCTAATTTGAAGGGCAAAAAGATCGATTATTATTTTGTGTCCACCGGAAGTTCTTTGAAAATATTGCAGAATATTCATCTTCCATCTTCTTTGCGATGTGATTCTAATATTCACTTGAAAAGGCTCAAGCCACCTCATTTGCAGCAAAATTTGGCACTTTATTGCCATATACCTCTAAAATATTCCGTTTTGAAATTACTAAAAAAATTCATTATTGTCCTTCCTCAACTTATTTTCTCAGGCTGCCCTGAGATTTATGCATAAGAAAAGAACATGCTGCAAAGACTCTTTATCAAGAAAAAATAAGATACACTCTTTCTTTAAATATTTTTATCAATAATTTATGATATCAGTCGATAATCAACAAATTTATTTTATTGATGAGGGTGCCTTTTGCCTTTCCAAAGTTAAATGGGCTCCTATTACCTCACTCTCTCTAGGTGGGACTTGAAAGAATGAATTTGGGTGAACTAGAACAAGACCTGGTAATAAGTCCAAACAATTTTGGAATTTCCTTTTCAAGCCCAAAATCTCTCTTTTTAATTGGAAATAATCTGTCAATAAAATAGGCTAATAAAAAATAATATATTTTTAGAAGAGGTCTCGAATTCAAGACTTGATTGTAGTACATTTTTTTTCTTTTCAATATAATTTGAACATGATTTTTTTTTTATTCACTTTGTCATTCTATCTAAGAGTTGTGCGAAACATTGCAATCTTAGTGGTTCGTTGTATCGTTCGATGCATGATCCTTTTTCAAGTCGATACACGACCCGTATCGGTCAATTTATACTAATTTTGTCTAAATCTGTTATACCTCGACCGTGATCGATACTACGAACCATAATATTGTGCAAGCTCAGCTGAATAGATTCACAAGATAAAACAGTTTAGTTGCACAGTGGCATCAGTTGCTATTGTGATTAATATTACAGGTGGATTTTGAAGAATCAACTATCATAAACAGTAACATTCCATTAAATGTGATGGATGGAATCAGAGATTTTCTCACAATGTCTTCAATGCATTGGAGGCTCGGAGCACATAGCAATAACACTAATTAATTACTTCTTTCTATTATCTTATAATTAAAAAAAAAAACTTATTAAATATTTTTCCCTCTCTATTCTGATTTCTTTGCAGGTTTGGTAAAGAAGACTACTTCGTTAGTGGTATGGTCGCGCTGAACAAAACCTAGATGCTTTTTCACCACCATTGTTGCATTTGAATGCATGCACCTTTAAACTAATTTTTTTTTTTATTTTTTCTATTGTAATTCTGATTAAAAAAATATATATTAATTGAATAGTAGGAATCATCCTTCTTGTTGTTATTATTATTGTTATTTTTGTATTTATATTATTTAAAATTAAAGTTCACACATAATTCAGACCTAAATCACACAATTCTTCTGGTTGTTATTATTATTGTTATTTTTGTATTTATATTATTTAAAATTAAAATTCACACATATTGCATGCCAATGTTGATTGTAATGCGCTCGTTGCAGCCATCATTAGCAGGCAAATTTCTGTTGTCAGATTGCTGCTACAGGTAAACACCGTGTGCAAGATTACCAAAACTACCCAAGATGTACAGGTGTATATATATCTGATGCTTAACAAATCCAAAGAGTTGGACAATACTGATTACATGCTGGGCCAGAACAGTGCCCGGTTTGATCAGATAACTGTGAGGCCACCAGTTTGAGTACAGCTCTTATAATACTGCTTTTAGCATCTCACAAACACCTAATTTTATGGGCCTTCCATATGACTTATGTGCCAATGATGTGAGCCTGATGGAAAGATTTATGCTTTGTTGTTAAGTTATTTAAACAAGCATTTTTTGTTTTTATCTAAATCACAACACTATAATCTAATATCACATTTACCTTTTGATAATGGAAAGAAGGCTCATGTTAGAACAGACGCAAAAGTGAGACTGGGAGCCTGGTCATGGGACACGGCTACTGGAGAAGAATTAAGGGTGGGTGCAGGGCTAGCTGAACCTTATCGTGTCACCTGTTGTGCAGTGGAGCATTTTGAAGACACTGGTGCTATCTTGCGCATGCTCTTACGCCACCTCTCCCCTAACATCCCTCATTTTGGGAGGACCATCATCCATCATGCCATCCTATGTAACAACGCTAAAGCAGTCAATGTGCTTGTGAATAGTGGTGCTAATGTAGAGTTCCCTGTTGAAACAGATGATAAAACAGAGTTCCACCCTATTCATTTAGCTGCACGACTTGGGTTTGCTGAGGTTCTCCAACAATTTATCAATGCTGGTTGTAATCTCAACTCAAAAACAAATTCTGGCGATACTGCGTTGATGATATGTGTAAGAAATAAGTGTGAGGAGTGTCTTCAACTTCTGGCATTGGCAGGTGTTGATTTTGGTTTGGTTAATTTGGCTGGTCAGTGTGCTAAGTCTATTGCTGAATCCACGCGGTTGGCTCTTGGCTTCCAACAAGCAGTTCTAGATGTAATCCGAACTGGGAAGATTCCTCAATCAAGCAATGCCTCGGTATTTTCTTGTATAATGTTCGTCACTCAAGCAAATGACATTGAGGCCTTAAAGAAACTTGTTGAGCAACCTGAAATTGATCTTGATGAACAGGATGGAAATGGATTTTCAGCAGCCATGCTTGCCGCAGCAGGTGGTCTTGTTGAGGCCTTCCGGTTGCTTGTGTATGCAGGGGCTAACGTAAAGCTGAGTAATAAATACGGTGAGACAGCAATTACTTTATCAGAAGCAAACAAGAAGAGTGATGCTTTTGAAAAGGCAATTCTTGAATATGCACTTGCAAAGGGAAACATGCTTCCACTGGATTTTATGCTCTACACCGCGCTGCATGGCGTGGTGATCTAGAGTCGGTCCGTATGTTAACTAGTGGGGGTTATGATGTCAATGTCCCTGATAGTGATGGTTACACTCCACTCATGTTAGCAGCAAGGGGAAGTCATGGAAGCATGTGTGAACTCCTAATCTCATGTGGGGCAAGGTGCGACATTGAGAATTCAACATGTGCGACTGCACTCTTGCTTGCAAGGAAACATGGTAAGGGAAATGATGCAGAACGCGTGATATTGGATGAGCTTGCTCGGACACTCGTGTTAAGCGGGGGACATGTGAAGAAGCACACAAAGGGAGGTAAAGGAGCCCCCCATATGAAAGTACTGAAGATGGTGGGGAATGCAGGGTTGTTGAGCTGGGGGAAGTCCAGCAATAGAAATGTGATATGTAGGGGGGCTGAGGTGGGCCCCAGCTCAGCATTCTGTTGGAACCGCCGGAAGAAGTTCGATGTTGAAGAACCGGGAGTTTTTCGCGTGGTCACAACGAAGAACAAGGAAGTGCATTTTGTTTGTGAGGGTGGGATCGAAATGGCAGATTTGTGGGTGAGAGGAATTAAGCTCGTCACAAGGGAAGCTATTTTTGGTAAGAAGCAAGGACAAGCTTGAATACTGATGGTAACTATATTTTGGCTTTTGTACAGAAGTTGGGGAGAGGAGATATCACCTTTTGTTAGGCAAAATGTCTTAAATCTATTGCATTACAAAAAAAATGCTCTCTAGTTATTGCCAAAACTGTTAATTTGCAGATAATAAAAAGGCCTTTTGCATTTGCATGGTACTTGATGATACAGAATAACATGATATCACTACCTCCCAAAATCTCTAGATAAAGCACATTTTAAAGACATTTAACCTAATTGAACATGTGACAGATTCTGCCAGGAGTACAGCAGTAACTCAAAGACAGGAAGGGCTCGGAGATTAGTCTGATATAGATGGAAAATCTAGCAAGCCTATTTTCACTAAGAAGACCATCAGAAAATGACAAACTCATCTAATGCTAACCATAAAAAGGATATTCTTTGATATGATTGAGCAATTTTAATTAGATTTACACGTGAATTGTTATATCGTGAATTTTTTGATTTGATGTTGTAATTCATCAATTCAACAACATGGGTTTGGTAACTGCGTAGGTAATTAGATGAAATGGAATAGTGAGAATAGTTTTGATGTAAAAGGTTAGTGATTCACATTACATCAAAGGGTCAAACAGACAGTGGATAACAGTCTTAAGCATTAAGCATTAGTTAGTTTGGTAACCCTCTAAACCAAAATTAAATAATTATACCTGCAATAGAAAATCCACCCAATCTTCCGGTGGGTCGGGAGGAGGTGTAATGTCTATAAGTTAAAAAAAAAAAAAAAAAAAAAAAAAAAAAAAAAAAAAAAAAAAAAAGCGAGACCCACAACTTTTGTAAAGTGGTCATATGACCACTTTTTTTTTTTTTTTTTTGGTCTCTAATATGATTCTTTCTCTTCCCGACGACAGAAGCTTTCTGCTCTCACTTTTCTTTTTTCTTTCTCTTGCTTCATGAATTTTACTCTTTGATTTCTCCCTCATTTCTTAGTGTTTTTAAGTGCCGTTTGAGGCAAAACAAAGCCCGCGGCGAGCTCTACGCACTCATACAAGCAATTTCAGTTTTTGGTCTTCCTAGGGATTTCGAATTTAGAAACCCATTTTAAGAGTTTTGTGCAAATTTGAGGTAGGGGCATCTCAATCCACTCATTTCTTGTTTTATTGTGAATTACACCTCCTTGTTGTGTCAAACATGTTTAATTGGGAGTTAATTGTATCTATGATTATATGAATGATGTCTAGAGAATTTTCAAGAGCTTGATTATGACTTGTTTCATGTGTAAAATATGTTTAGATGTTGTTTTATCATGCCCA